CAATTGGAGAAGCTGACCTGCGATTGTTGGAAAAGGATGCTTTTCTCTGGGTTTATGCCACAGGCTAGAAGAGCAGCAGTCATGTCCAGGATGCTCTGCCGTAGGGTGGCTGGGTCTTGTGGGGCAGTGATGGAGTGTAGATCAACAATGCTGTACAGCACAGAGCCATACTCCTCCTGCAATCTCACCCAGCTCTCAATGGCTCCCAGGTAATTGCCCAGGTGGGGGATTCCTGTAGGCTGAATGCCAGAAAATACGCGCTCTGTGCCATCTTTCTGGAACAAAGGAAAACAAACACATTTGCCTTTAAGGATGAGTCCACAAATTCTGTTGTACACATTACTGCAGCTTGTTGTTTTTGTTAAGCGCCTAGCCTTAGATGTAAAGATAGAAGATTTAATATACTATGCAGTTGAGAATTCAGGAGAAAGATGAGGCTTTCTGCTCCCATAAAGGTTTATGGCTTTGAAGACTCTATATGCTCTTGCTATGAGCCGGAATCAACTTGATGACAACGAGAGAGAGATGGAGAATTAGAGAACCCAGTGTTATAAACATATATGCTCTCTTTAAACAATCTATGTTGTTGTCATTGTTAAGTGCCATTGAGGTGGTTCTAACACATACAGACCCTGTATAGGGTTTCCAAGAAGAGGTTAGTGAGTTTGAACTGCCAGCCTTGTGGTTAGCAGTTCAGTGCTTATTTTACAGTGACATGCCAGAACTCCTTACTGTAGCTAGTCCTATTATTTTAAATTGCAATCTGATAGTCATAATCACTACATTTTATTTTGTGCTTGCTCTGTCTAAAGCACTATGTTAGATGCTATTAGGACAGAAAGCGATATAATTGTTTTCTTCTTGCATTTCTTAGCACCCAAAAGCTTACAAGTACAAAGTCATGCAAGAAAAGGTCCACATCCCCAAGAGAATAAATACAGTCTAACTAGAGACAAAAGACATGTTTATGAAGGGATAAATAGTACCATGTAGCAATATGATCATGGCCAATCTGGAAAGATAGAGAAGTACAGGTAGGGATTCTTAAGAGGAAAAGACAACTTTTCACGCAACAGTTGGTGAAAAGACTTCAGACACAGGATAAACATTTATTAGAAATTAAAGGGGCTTCAAAAGTGTTCATGTGATTTCATTCATCTTAAATATGAAGTCCATTGTAATGGAATCAGAAGCTACTACTGTTTATGCAATTCAGTTTTTTTTTAAAAACTGCTATTATAATTTATTGTGCAGGGTCTTGTGTTAGATATTAAGACACCTAAACTTCTATTTCTAATATTACTTTTTGATTAAAAAAAAGTAACAGTTTTTATGCCTTGGTATCTTTTTATTTGGAATAAAATCACATTTGATTTTTCATTTCTTTATAAGGAATAAAGAATACATGATGTTTTAAGTTATAAGATATTTTGTGCTTATTTATTATATATATGTGATTTATAGTGTTATAGCTTATATTTAGGTCTATGTGCACAAGGAGTTTCTTTTGCATGTGGTGTGAGGTAGGCATCCAGTTTTGTTTGTTCTATATGGATATTTGACTGTTCTAGCACCATTTATTGACAACAGTCTTTCACCATAACTCTGGAATTCTATCTCTGGCATAAATCAAGTATCCATACATACAGTATATCTGGGCCTATAACATGGCTTTCTAACTTGTCCTATTGATCTATCTGTCTATACTTGCACCAGGGCGACCTTACCTTTATATTAAGTCTTGATCTAGTATAGCACTTTTTTCTACCTTCTTCTTCAAGAAGGTGTCCTGGTGGAACAGTGGGTTAAGCACTGGGATGCTAACTATAAGACTGGCAGTTCAAACACAATGACTACTCTTGGAAGAAAACTGAGGCTGTATGCTCCCATAAAGATTTACACATTCTTGGATATCCTATGGAGCAATTCTACTCTGGGATCAGAACTGATTCGATGGCAGGGTTTTTTTTTTGTTGTTGTTGTTGTTTTGGGGACTCTACACTTTTCCATACATTTTCGAATGATCTTGTCAAGTTCCAAAAGAAAAGAAAAGAAAAAAAAAAATCCTGTAAAGAACAAAACAAATCCTGTTAGGTTCTTTGACTGGTATTGTACTGATCTATGGATTGCTTTTGGAGTCTTGGTGTGGCACTGTAGGATAAGCACTAGATTGCTAACCAAAAGGTTGGCAGTTTAGACTCACCAGCTTCTACTTGGTAACCTATATAGAGTCGTGATGAGTCAGCACCACCTGGACGGCACTTAACAGTAACAACACAGATTGTTTTAGAGGAAACAGATATCTTTACATCAGTAGGTGCTCTAATTCTCAACCATCTCTCTCCTACTGCCATCAAGTTGATTCTGACTCATAGCAACACTATATAGGGTTTCCAAGGTCGTAAACCCCTATAGGAGCAGAAAGTCTCATCTTCCTCCTGAATTCTCAACCACAAAGTACATCAAATCTTTTACCTTTACATCTAAGGCTAGGCTTCTGGTAGTTAGTCTACTTTAAATATGTGAGTACCAAGGCTACTTAGAATGTGCCCTTTATTCCCCCAAGAATTCCAAATCCTACAAATTAAGTGCCTATTTCTCCCATATCTGTTCATATTCTCTCTACTAAGATTAAAATAAAAAACAAAAACAAACCCATTGCCACTCTTCAGATGACTCCAACTCACTGTGACTCTATATAGGATTTCCAAGACTGTAAATCTTTAAGGGAGCCAACAGCATCATCTTTCTCCAACAGAATGTCTTGTAGATTTGAATTGCCAACCTGGCAGTTAGCAGACCAAGGACTAACCCACAGTGTTTCCAGGACTTCTTTATTCCTAAGAAGGTGGTGGTTGTATGCCATCAAGTTGATTCATAATGGCCTAGAGAGGGTTTCTGAGACTATATATCTTTACAGAAGCAGAAAGTCTTATCTTTCTCCAGAGGACTGACTGGTAGATTCGAACTGCTGACCTTGGAGCTAGCAGACTAATGCTAAATCCACTACTACATCAGCACTCCTTACTCCTAAGACAGCAGCCTCAATATAGGCTGCTACTTCTATAAAATTACAAATGATCCAAGTAATCAGGATACCCCAAAGATTTGTGGGTTTGAGGATATAGAAAATATCCACCCATATCCTCAAAATGGTGCCACTTAGTCCTTTTTAAGTACTAAGAAGAAATATAATTATAGCATTTAAAAATCATACACGTACATACACACATTACACAATGTTGTTTTTAAGTGCCATTGAGTTAGTTCCAACTCATATGGACCCTATATAGGGTTTCTGAGGAGTGGTTGGTAGATTTGAACCACAAGTTAGCAGTCTAGTGCTTTTCCTACAATGCCACCCCAGGATTCCACACAGGCCTTCTAATAACTAACTCTCTCATAATTTAGATGTGTTGTTGTTGTTGTTAAGTGCCATGGATGCATACCAACTCACAGTGACCTTGTATATATAGGGTTTCAGATGTTGTAGAAATTTGTGGGAACAGACAGCCTCAGCTTTCTCCTGTGGAATGCCTGGTGAGTTCAACTCACTGACCTCACAGTTGGCAGCCCAGTGTTTATCCTAGAGTCATTGTGCTCCCTAATTCAGAGAGAACATTAAAAATACTAGTTTCTAGTTGAGAAGCTGAGGCTAGTGAGGGTGGGCAAGAAGGATGGGAGGAACAGATGAGATGGGAAATGGGAAAAGAGTCACTCAGAGAGAAAGACAGAGAACTGGAACGTACATATTAGTGAGGCTTCTTCCTAGAGATGGCAACCAACTTTGGGCTGTTGAAATGGGGAGCTTTCAGTAGAGTAAAACTGATTACTGGCCTCTGGGACTGATTGATGAAGAGAGAAAGCAAAGCAAAAAACAAACTCTGAACCTAATAAATGAAAAAGAAAAAAAAAAAAATTCAGACATACTTGACCTAAGAAGAAGAGCGAATGTTTATGGTAGCATAAATGGTTACAAAGACTAGGAATATTAAGATTTAAGATGAAAAAAAAAAGACAAGAAAAGAAAAAAAGAAGTGGTTATTTCCACATAAGACCAGGAAATTCCTCCATGGTTAAACTAGGGCCCTGGAGAAATGGAGGAAATGAATTCTTGAGAAAACTAGAAGAGAAAATGCACTAGAGAACAGGACTGTGGGAAAAAAAAAAATTGGGACCAGTGGGAATGGACTAGACATGATCTAATACATCTTTTCCAGGCTCTAGTTTCTGTGATTCTGTACATTAGTGTGGAGGAAATCATGTTATCAAGAAGTAAAAGCAACAAGAAATGTTTTGCTCAATTTTCAAGGAGCTAAAAAAAATACAGGCTCTAAATGAGAACTGGATTCCTGGTCTTAAAAATATACAAAAAGTGTCCTGCTCTTCTGCAGTGAGTTTATATTCCTGTCTGTCCCTCCTGCAAGAGTCAGCGGGCGGCCTGACTGCATGGCAGGGGAGATCCGCCTGGTACCATGAAATCACAGGGCTGGAATGTGGCGTTTGGGTGGTGGCGGATGGGGGTTCTATATTCAAAAGCACTAGAGCTGGAAAAGAATGAAGGAGCACGGGCTTCCCCAGTGGACAGAGGCCGGCCACAGAGAAAACAGCTTCAAGGTTAGCCCTCAGGGAAGTCTGGAGTGTCAGCCACTAATTCCATCACACTGTGCAAATGATAAAAAAGGAGCATTTTACACAATAGGCTTTGGTTTTTGTTCTGGTCTAGTTCTCTAATAAATACTACTTCCAATTAATAGATTTGGCTCTGCAGGTTAATGTAATAGATTGCAAGGTTGGTTTGAACTACAAGGTCGGAGGTTCAGGCTCAACAGCCATTCCTTGGAAACCCTATACATTGTGGCTATAAATTGGAACCAACTCGACAGCACTTAACAACATCACCTCCACCAATGGACAGCTTCATTCCTAGGTGGCGATGTGGGATGATGCACCGGACCGCAAGGTCGGTTTGAACCACAATGTTGGTGGTTCAAAGGTGTCAACTGCTCCTTGGAAACCCTATACAGGGTTACTACTATGAGTTGGAACTGATTCAATGGCACTTAACACCAACAATAATTCCAGAAAAGGGGGTGGGTGTTGGAACCAAAGAGAATATACATACCAATTTGATGGATGTAGCTAAAGCTATTCCTAGGTTAATGTGCTGAGTATAGCCAAAATTTCTAATCATAATTTTAACAACTTCACTCAAAAGCAATAAAAAATTCCCAAACTGTTAATTATGGCAAAAGACTATTTTTATGATGAACTAAAGAGT